AGCCCTCATTTTGGGGAAACTGGAAAGCCCTGGCATCAGCGGACAAATGCAGAGCCAGCTACAACCTGTTGTGACCAAACAGGACCGATTAGCATGTCTCTGCTACCTGGCAGCGGGATAATCCAGCTCCCAGAGGACCTTGGAGGAGGGTTAACTCCCCTGTGCTGGTCTCGGTGCCTTCTTTTCTCCCACGACTGCTAATTAAGTCTTGTATTTGATTCAAGACTCCTTGGATTCCAAGGAAGAAAGTCCCTATTAAGTCAGCTTAAACCAAACGAAAGGAATTAAATGTCTGCGTGGCCAGTCCCGATGCTATGGATTTAGGAGTGCAAAAATGTGGCTTTATTATTATCATCACTTCCTAGACTTTAGTAAATCCTCTGCCATTTATAATCTTATGCACTTAATATCTTTCTGCTTTTTTCTTTTTTTTTTTTTTAATTTAATTTTTGTAGACCTAGGGTCTCACTATGTTGCCCAGATTGGTCTCAAACTCTTGGCCTCAAGCGATCCTTTTGCCTCAATCTCTCAAGTGCTGGGAGGACAGGCAGGAGCCACCTTGCCCGGACCTTAATAACTTTCTTTATATCAAATTGATGTTTAAAAATCTATCACCAGGCCGGGCGCGGTGGCTCAAGCCTGTAATCCCAACACTTTGGGAGGCTGAGGCAGGTGGATCACGAGGTCAAGAGATCAAGACCATCCTGGTCAACATGGTGAAACCCCGTCTCTACTAAAAATACAAAAAATTAGCCGGGCATGGTGACGCGTGCCTGTAATCCCAGCTACTCGGGAGGCTGAGACAGGAGAATTGCCTGAACCCAGGAGGCGGAGGTTGCGGTGAGCCGAGATCGGGCCATTGCACTCCAGCCTGGGTAACAAGAGCGAAACTCCGTCTCAAAAATAAATAAATAACTAAAAATAAAAATAAAAATCTATCACCTGTAATACGGGGCTAATAAAAATTTGTAATATATCTTTGGATATGAAACTATAGGGTCTTAATTGGAAGATCAATAACAATTACCTTAAGTAGGAAATTTCTGCAAAAATAAATGCAACACAAACAAAACAAGGTTATCAAATTCTAAGTGGTTATGGTTGCCCCAGTGCCTTCTGTGTTAAATAGAGACAGAGTAGCTATTTTTAAAAGGTGTTGGCTGGGTGTGGTGGCTGATGCCTGTAATCTCAGCACTTTTGGAGGCTGAGGCAGGTGGATTGCTTGAGTCCAGGAGTTCGAGACTGGCCTGACCAACATGGCAAAACCCCTTCTCTACTAAAAACACAAAACTTAGCTGGACATGGTGGCGCAAGAGGAGGCTAAGGCAGAATTGCCTGAACCCAGGAGGCAGAGGTTGCCATGAGCTGAGGGGCAGTGAGCTGAGGGGCAGTGAGCCACTGCACTGCAGCCTGGGCAACTGAGCAAGACTATATTTCAAAAATAGATAAATAAATAAATATAGGTGTTAAAGACAGACTGGCACCTCATGGACTCTTTCCCTGTGATGTAATCATAAAAATGACTGAAATGAAAAACAAATAACTTCCTTGCAAGGAGATGCAAAATTATTTAAAAGATTCTCTCTGCCACCTAAAGTCATTTTCTAAAAGACACGAAATCATCTAGTAGGCCTTCAAATGTCCTCACTCATCTCCTTTAATTCAGTTTAGTATCTTAAAGCAAAACATCAGTATGTTTCATACTTTCCCCCTGAGTGTTCCCAGGGGAACAGGAAAGTGAACTCACCCTTGGAGTTCTGGGAAGAGCATCGCAGAAAGAGGCCTGCCCCAAACCTCACACAGCAGGTTGAAAATTCACGTGAAATTTGCATTCTACCCTGTCATAATTGTATTTGTTTACCCTTAATTCTTTTTCCAATCCATATGGGTAATTAACACTCCAGGAATATGTGCCATGTTTGTCTTTTTTTTTTTTTTTTTTGAGATAGAGTCTCACTCTGCTGCTCAGGCCGGAGTGCAGCGGCGTGATCTTGGCTCACTCCAACCTCCACCTCCCGGGTTCAAGCAATTCTCCTGCCTCAGACTTCCAAGTAGCCGGGACTACAGGCACCCAGCACTCCGCCTGGCTAATTTCTGCATTTTTAGTAGAGTCAGGGCTTCACCATGTTGGCCAGGCTGGTCTCAAACTCCTGGCCTCAAGTGATTCACTTGGCCTCAGCCTCCCAAAGTGCTGGGATTTCAGATATGAGCCACCACGCCCGGACCTATGTTTGTCTTGAAGTACCGTGTCACTCTGTGGTTCTTGACCCTATTGAACACATGTTCCCTTTACTTTAAGAATGTGAAAATTTTGCCTCTGTAGTCCCAGCTACTCAGGAGACCGAGGCAGGAGGACCCCTTGAACTCAGGAGCTCAAGATCAGAGTGGGCAACATAGCAACACTCCATTTCTTTTAAAAAGTAAACAATTTGAGGGCTGGGCACAGTGGCTCATACCTGTAATCCCAGTACTTTGGGAGTCCGAGGCAGGCAGATCACCTGAGGTCGGGAGTTCAAGACCATCCTGACCAACATGGAGATACCTGTCCCATCTCCACTAAAAATACAAAATTAGCCAGGCATGGTGGCACATGCCTATAATCCCAGCTACTTGGGAGGCTGAGGCAGAAGAATTGCTTGAACCTGGAAGGTGGAGGTTGTAGTGAGCTGAGATCACGCCATTGCACTCCAGCCTGGGTGACAAGAGCAAAACTCCATCTCAAAAAAAAAAAAAGAACAATTTGAATAATGCCTTCTTAACTATCCAGAAAACATTTTCAAAGATTAAATAACCTAGTCACTCACATACTTTAAAAAGAAATAAGCCAGGTGTGGTATCTCTTACCTGTAATCTCAGCACTTTGGGAGGCTGAGGTGGGTGGATCACTTGATCCCAGGAGTTTGAGAACAGTGTGGACAACATGGTGAAACCCTGCCTGTACAAAATATACAAAAATTAGGCATGGTGGCACACATCTATGTTTCCAGCTACTCGGGAGGCTAAAGTGGGAGGATCACTGGAGCCTGGGGGGTTGCGGCTGCAGTGAGCTAAGATTTCACCACTGCACTCGCAGCCTGAGCAACAGAATGTGACCCTGTCTCAAAATAAAAAATAAGAAAGAAATAAGTTCTTTGTTTGGTTTGCAAATTAGGAGGATGTAAGAGTATGTCATTCATTAAAATAACTTCAAAGTGAGTTTGCCAACACAGGAAACCGCCTTTATGTTACGTTCATTCTTCACGGTAAAGATAACACTCAGTACCGTTATATTTTGATATAGTTTTATCCTGGTACAATAGATGTTAGAATAATGATGCCAAAATAAACTTGTGAGTGAGAAAAAGAAATCAGTTCTGAAGTTCTTTTTTTTTTTTTTAATTTCTTATTGGATTTTAGGTTTTGGGGTACATGAGCAGAGCATGCAAGACAGTTGCATAGGAACACACATGGCAGTGTGCTTTTCTTTCCTTCTCCCCTTCACCCACATTTGGCATTTCTCCCCAGGCTATCCCTCCCCACCACCCCCTCCCACTGGCCCTGATGCGGCAGGCTGCATCAGCAATGGCAGAGTACCTCCGTAGGGGTGGAGTGCCTCAGTAATGGCGGACGCCCCTCCCCCACCGAGCTGCACCATCCTGGGTTCAGCTGTGCTTGCTGTGAAACTCTCAACCCCAAGCGTTTCCAATTGTTGTTTTGTTTGTTTTTGTGGAGGTGGGACCCACCGAGCCTGATCACCTGGCTCCCTGCCTCAGAGCCCTTATTTTTTTTTTTAAGTTGAATGGTTGACTCTCTCCCAGGTGTTTCAGTCACCTGCTGAAAGGGTGCTGGGATCTGTGTGATTTCCCATGCGGCAACCCACTGCGCCGGCTGAAACAACGTTGCTGCCCAGGAATCTCCTGGCCTGGCTTATTGTTTAAGTCCCGTTTAATCAGATGAATGTGCTAATCTGTCTTCCCAAATCTCAAATTGCCGGTTTAACAGGGCAACCAGACCAGTATATTTTGTACGGAGTGCCGCTGTGCTGCAACACCGGCCGAAATGGCTGTGCTGGTGGCCCATGGGGCTCCAACACCTGGGAATCTCCTGGTCTGTGTGCAATAAAGATCCATCTGGAAATGCGGCGTCCACTCACCCTTTGCACTTTCACTGGGAGCTACAATCCTGAGTTGCTCCTATAGTGCCATCTTCTCCTCTCTCCGACTCTTCTACTCTTCAGTTCTGAAGTTCTAACTAGGAGAGAGAAATTTTTAAAGGCATTAATAAAATAAAATTTATTTTTAATATGCAAATCTTTACCCACAACTCTGTCTAGATGGCAAGAGGAGGGGGTCAAGATCTGCCTCTGGTTATAAATATGTTTGGATTTAACTGAATATTTTCAATGCTTTTTCTTTACATTTGGCCTTTTGAAATAAGGGTTAGATCAGTCTAATCATAGATAAACACTGTGAACAGAAACTGACACTGAAGCTTCCCATCAATGGCTCAAATATTGCACACAGCGTTGTCATTGACAGCATGGTTTTCTGAAAGGAACACTTTTGTAAAGTTCCAGCTAAAACAAAGTCAATTTTCTTTTGACTTACCTGAAAGTTGCATTCCTGAAAAACTATGTTCATTCTTGTTGCATTTCTGAAAACCTATATTCAAACTATGCACCCCCCCAAAAACAGAGTTTCAGCTGCACGATGAGGGGGCAGAACATTCGAGATGGTTGGGATCCAGGACAAGTCTATTTTCTCTCCTGCATTGTAGAATATCTGACATGTCTTGGCCCAGACTGGCATTCAATGCCAATTATTGGGACAACCAAGAATGCCCCACGATTTTCCCATCCACCCCCCCATGGGTTGGCACTCCCCATACAGAGGGCCCCAGCACCCCCTTGGTTGTGTAGGTTCCCTTTAGTATGACCCCATTATCAGCAGCTTTCAATGCAGTGCAAACGCTACCTGGAGGTGCTGAAAGCCCTTGTGATTCCGTGTCTTCCTTCTTTGCAGGGGCTGAAGATCAGTGTGCTGTGGACTCTGTACTATGGCATCCTTAGTGCTTTTGCGCCCGTGTACAGCTGGATCCTGGTGCTCCGGGGCCTGGTGGGCTTCGGGATCGGAGGAGTCCCCCAGTCGTAAGTAAATACCCAGTGCTAGCTATGCAGCCTGGATGCCCATTGACAGGTCTGTTCATGGCCTGGGTGGGGAGGTAGGGGCTGAGATGGTGGGGGGCAGGACACAGAGAGGCTACACCGGGGCTTCCAGGATCAAGGAGCTGTGGTGCAGCAAGAAACTAGCATCATTATCATATTGTTATGATCAACAACAGCAGCAAAACAACACAATGGCTGGAAGGTTACGAAAGAGAAATAATAACACGTCTAGCGTTGATTGACTGTTCCACTTGGATGCATCGCAGCAGCCCAAGAGGTGTGGGTCATTGTGTTATTGCAAGCTCTGTTTTACAGTTGGGGAAACTGAGGTTCAGAGAGTGAAATCATCTATCTGAATCACACGGTGGGTAAGCAGAACTAGGAACCTGAGTTTGTCTGCCTACAACATCCATGCTCTTAGCCACCATGAACGCTGCTTCCTACACCCTTCTAGACTAAAGTCAAGGCAGGGTGTGATGCCCACCACATGTCACCCGGGCATTAATTTGCTGTTGCGGTTGTAGTTTAAGGTACTGAAAATATTCAGAGCTGTAGGAAGAAGCCATTTCTCCTGGGGGATTGAGGAAGACTTCCTATTTGTGATGGGCCCTGAAGCAGAGCTTGGCAAACTATGCCAAGCTTGCATATGAGCAGAATTTGACCTGCTGACTGGTTTTGTAAATAAAGTTTTATTGGAACATGCCACACCCTCCAGTTATGTATTATCTATGGCTGCTTTCATGCCAGAGTGACAGAACTGAGTAGTTTCAGGAGATCTATGGCCTGAAAAGCCTGAACTATTTACTATGTGGCCCATTCCAGAAAAAGTGTGTTAGACCCCACCCTAAAAAATGATAATAGCCAATATTTAGTGTTAACTATGTGGCAGTTCCTGTTCTAAACGGTTTACCCAGATGATCTCCTTTAACCTCTCTTTTTCCCTAGAAGGTAAATTCTATTATTAACCCCATTTTATAGACAGAGAAACTGAGGCACAGAGAGGTAAAGTAACTTGCTCCAGGCAACTCAACCAGGAAGTGGCAGAGCTGAAATATGAACCTGGACCTTCTAACCCCAGCACCTGGGCAATAACTTTTGCATTTTACTGCCGTGCTGTTAAGAAGGCAAAGGATTTGGAAAGACCCAGAAAGAGACTTGGAGAAGATGTAGGATGTTTTGTAGGAAGAGAACTGCATGAAAAGAGGAAGCTGTAGCTGAGGCTGGGGAAGGCTAACTGTCTGGTTGGTCAGCTTGGAGGTATGAGATCTGTGAGAATTGAAAGCTGGCTGGGCACAGTGGCTCACACCTGTAATCCCAGCACTTTGGGAGACCAAGACAGATAGATCGCTTGAGCTCAGGAGTTCGAGACCAACCTGGGCAACATGGTGAAACACCGTCTCTACTAAAAATACAAAAGTTAGCCTGGGCATGGTGGTAGGCGCCTGTAGTCCCAGATACTTGGGAGGCTGAGGCAGGAGAGTCGCTTGAATCTGGGAGGCAGAGGTTGCAGTGAGCTGAGATCATACTGCTGCACTCCAGCCTGGGTGACAGAGAGTGATTCTATCTCAAAAAAAAAAAAAAAAAAATTGAAAGCTGAGGTTGGACAGGTGGGCCAGGGGAAGCTTGTTAACGGCCTCAAATGCCAGGCCAGAGAGATTCTACTGGTGATGAGGAGCCACTGAGAGTTCTTGAGCTGCAGAGGTACTCTAGAAGTATTAATCTGGCTGTGGCAGGTGGAACGGGTTAGAGGGAAGGAATCGTGTTGCAATAATTTAGGGAAATTTTGCAAGAGGACCAGGTCGATCCCTTGTCGTGTATTCATTTATTTCACCAACATTTCTTGAGCACCTAGAACTGCTAGTGCTGGGGATGCAGCATTGAGCAAGAGTGCCATGGTCCCTGTTCTAGGATGGGATCCTGGGGAACAGGCTTTGAGATGGAGATTACAGTGCAGATGGTTACTAGGATTAACACCTGTGAGAAAACTAGGCCTGGCAGAGGGGGAACCTAAGTTGCAGTATCATTGCCACAGAGGCCTCTGCTCAGCCTACAGGGGTTCAGAGGCTGAGCTGGCCCTTCAGAGGTGTTTCAGATTGGGTCAAGAGAGCTAAACCATTTTACCCTCACAACAACCAAGCATTGGAGGTGGGCTGCCCTCAAGGACGGAGCATGACCTTAGGCAAGGCAGCTACTTTTGGACAAGGCAACTTCCGCAAGGGACTTAGCTATGAGCTCTTAGCAGGCAACACTCCTGCTCATTCTGGAGGGAATAAATGCCTCAGTCCTGAAGGGCAGATCACGTGGCACATCACAGCATCCTCCACAGTCCAGGGTGGATCCACTTGCTTCAAATATAGTCATGCGTCACTTAATGATGGGGAGGTGTTCTGACAAATGCATCAATAGGTGATTTTGTCACCATCCAAAAATCATAGAGTGTCCTCATACAAACCTAGATAGGACAACCTCCTACACAGCTGGGCTATACAGGGTAGCCTATTGCTCCCGCGCTACAAACCTATACAGCATGTAACGGTGCTAAATACTGCAGACAATTCTAACACAATGGAATTTGTGTATCTAAACATATCTAGACATAGAAAACCCACAGTAGAAACACAGCATTAAATTAAAAAAAAAAAAAAAAAAAAAGGCCAGGCATGGTACCTCACACCTGTAATCTCATCACTTTGGGAGGCTGAGGTAGGAGGATCACTTGAGCCCAGGAGTCTGAGATCAACCTGGGCAACATAGCGAGACCCCCCTCACTATTAAAGAATAATAAAAATAGGCCAACTTTGGGCGCACTGCCGATGAGTTAGCCCTGCTCTGCAAGGAGCAGTACTCTTCAATAAAGGATTGCAGATAAATAAATAAATAATAGAAATCACAGTCTTACCTTATGGGACCACCATCATATATGTGGTCTGCTATTGACTGAACTGCTATGCAGCCCATCATTGTAATCAGTTCACACCACCTAAGAACAGTTCCTCCGGGATTTGGTTACTCTCTTTTCTGCAATAAGCTAATCTACAGTCCCTGTGATTCCTGCTGGCCTCATGGCTGCAGTGGATGCTAATACCTCCCGCCTCTGCTCCCCATTCTAGATTCCTCTCAGCTTCAGCGAGCACTCCCACTGATCTAGACGGTTTGCTTGCATGAGCCACCGTGCCCAGCCCCATATAACCACTTCTATGTCTCCTTCAGTATATATGGGCTCCTTGGGTCCCACGTCATGTCATGAGTGATCCTTTGTCAGTGGGTCAGACATTGTGTGAGTTCTCGGGTGATGGTGATGACTGAGACTTTGCAGGTAGGAAAGATAAATCGGTACCCAGAATAGGTGCCGATTTGGTGAAGATGAATTGCTGCTTCTTCAAAACTGGAAGAGTCCAATGTATCTAAGTTGCTATCAAGTGACATGGAGTGGTTCCATCCTGGGGCCTCCACGTTGGTCTCTGTTGCTGGCAAGCTGGCTCTTTGGCAGCACAAGCAGCAAGATAAATCAGCATCGGAAGTGGGGATCTGTTCGGTCCTACTAGAGCACCCACCCTCTAAGGGGTAATAGTTCAGGGATTGACTTCTTGTGCCTGCTGAGCCTCATGACTGGGGAAGACTGGAAGAGACAGCCTAGAAGGGTCATGCTAATTCTAAAATAGATCATCGGCTCTGAAAGCAGGCTGCTTGGACTTGAATCCTGGCTCCGTCACGTAATAGCTATATGACCTCAGGCAAATCACTGAGCCTTCCCATATGTGTTTCCTCATCTCTAAAATGGATCAACAACATCCCCACCTCATAGAGTCCCTTAAAATAGTCATTAAATGACAACATTCTATAAAACGCCTAGGAGAATGCCTGGCAGAGCACCCAAGATTATTTATTTATTTATTCTTATTTTTAAATTTTTTTGTGACAGAGTCTTGCTCTGTTGCCCAGCCTGGAGTGCAGTGATGTGATCTCAGCTCACTGCAGCCTCTACCACCCAGGTTCAAACAATTCTTCTGCCTCAGCCTCCCAAGTAGCTAGGACTACAGGCACTTGCCACCATGCTCAGCTAATTTTGTATTTTTAGTAGAGACGGGGTTTCACCAGGTTGGCCAGGATGGTCTCGACCTCTTGACCTTGTGATCTGCCTGCTTTGGCATCCCATAGTGTTGGGATTACAGGCATGAGCCACTGTTCCTGGCCAACAATCAAGATTTATTAACAAGCATTTGATCTGCTGAAGGCTTTGGTAAGAAGAAGCTCAAGCATCATTGTGATGGATGAAGAATGACAGATGAATGATTCAAGGTATCATTGTAGAAAGAGCAGGAACAGGGGAGATAGGACCACGTGGATTTAACACATGAGCAAACCCCCAGCTTCCTCCTGCCACTTGGAGGCTGGAAGGATGGTGAGTGACTCTCAGCTCCCCTTCATCCTTCCCTCCTTTATTCATGATTAATTCCTCCAGGGCTCTGGAGAGTAGGCATTTGATGTACACTTCTGGATCTGGGATGAGCTTACAAACCACTGGAGCTTGAAGCAAAGGCTATTAACAGAGCCACAGCCATAAATCTGGGCTGGCAGGAGCTTGTGGACCATGTGCTCTGCTTCTGGCCCAGCTCCAGGGACTCCTGCAGACACAACCACTGCCCTATTCATGAGCCGTTCATTAAGTATGATCCAGTTTCCCCCAGTGGCTGGAAGGAATGTACTCACAGAAGAGCAAATCAAATTCCCTTACCAGGGACACTCAGAGAAATGCCAGTAGAAATAGACTTCAAACCGTCACCTGGATTTTCTTCTCATCTAAGGAAAGATAAAGGAATTAAATATTCAGAATGTCCATAGAGATTCTTGTTCAAGATGGTAGAGTGAGAAATTACATTTTCTATTTCTTCTTCCACATTTCCTGGAAATGACATAGAAGTAGTAAGAAACAGAATAAATCTTTTCTCTTGAGAGAGACAGGGTCTCGCTCTGTTGCCCAG